TTTTTATTTAATAATTTTTTTATTAATTCATTTTTTCAAAATACATGTTATAAAACTAAAAATTTTTAATGAGAATATTTAACAAAAAATTGTTTTATTTATAGATTAAATAATAGATTTTTTCAATAGGGAGAGAGCTTTTTATTTATTACATATACAGGGTTTTCCTACTAATTTTCCCACACACTGTATTCCAAAGTCTTGCCGGATTAACGATTTTGCCAGACCACCCGAGGTCAGGTCAGCACGTAATAATAACTCAGCTTCACATCCTGAACCAGTAATTATACCTTCCATTTCTCTAAACCATTCAGGATTGTTACAAACATAACTTAAGAATGTATTAAATGTAATATTTACGTTTGATACCAGTGACGCTTTCATCTTTTAGAAGCTGTAGCTAGGGTTAAATGTAAGTAAAATGAAGTAAAAATCACGCAGAATAAAGAATTTATCAACAGCTGCAATACAGACAATCCAAATGTACGCGCACTATACACGCAATGCCAGCTGTGGCCATTCCACAAACAGATCTGGCAGTCGCAGGAATTTAAATGTTCTCTGGTAATTCCGGATTAAAAAGAGATCTCGGTCAGTAATTCGACGGTGAATCTGTATACAAATACACCAACACTGTTTTTGTATTTTTGGCACCCGTCAACAAGAATATTTTGTTTCAATTATTTGCTATTAAATAGATCTAAACTATCGAATTCGTTAATTATTAAAAAATAACAAGAAGAATTAGAATGTAAGAAAAAGATATCTAGCAAATTAGAAATACATCTTATAATTTAATTTTTATTACAGATGATAATTGAAAATAACCCTATAATTTTTAATTAGTCTACCCATTGACTAATGGTGATGGATTTTGCTAACAGTTTAAATGTAATTTAGATCAGGCAGATCTTGTATAGATTAATATAATGCAGAACAATTAAGACTAGCTATAGTATATATAGCTTATTGCTGATTATCTTTAACAAACAAACGTTAACAAAATGAATTTTAACAAAGCCCATGATTGCATTTTATTCATTACGTGATATTTAATTTACTCGTTTTAGGCTATATACTTTGCTTATCAGAGAAAAATAATCTTACATATAGTTCTAAATTTAATCTAAATAACCTTAAAGTTGATTTATATTAACAAATATGGACTAGCAATTCGTTATTTCATATTATATTCCATCTATTTATTATAATCATTATACTTTTTGAGAAGTATATATCTGTTAATATTCAAGAATAAATTGCTTTATTCTTTTTTTCTCTAAGAATAAGCTAATTAAACGTAGATAAAAGCTACATTTCTCATAATTTGGCTTAAAAAGATAAAAATCAATTCTGCTAATACTAAAATGTTGGTTAGCTGCCAGAAGAACTAGTCGATCCACGCTGGACTGGCATAGACGAGCACAGAAATACACATTCTTTTCGTGAACCAATCAATGTGGTTCCATGAAAGTCAGTTCGAGAATACTCCGTGCTGGCCAGTGTGAATAAACCTCATATTTAATTGATTAAAATCTTAGTTTTTAAAATAAAGAGATAAAAAATGTAAAAATGGACGAGTTACACACTTAAAAATATATTTTGGTATTGAGAAAACTGTTAGTACGAATTACTATACTTTTGCATCTAACAATAATCTTTGAATTATTGAATCTATAAACGACATATCTAGTAGTTAAATAATCTTTTCGAGATCAATTTAAACATTATTTCTTATATTCGATCAATTATATATCATAATCAGTTTTCTCGAATATTATCATAACTTAAGTGAAAAATGGAAGATCAAGAAAACCCATATTTTAGAGAATTTACGATAAGTTCAATGATATCCGGGTTATTTATATTCTAATATTCTTCTATAACAAAGCAAAGTTTTGATTTTTTGGGAGAGTTTAATAAAATTTAATATAAAAATATTTATTCAATCTTATTTTGAATAAGATACAGTATAGCGTTTTTTGTTTTCTATCTGTAGGTTTTGTTTCTTTCTTTACTAATGTCTATTATGAATTCGGCTAGGTTTACATAATGGCATTCGGATGGTGAGAAGAGAGTCCAACGTATCCGGTTCGAATCATTCACGAATATTTTATCCAGATTATATTTGGGTTCTCGAAGCGACAGGCACGTGTTAGCTGTCTTCTGTAACTCATACGTCTAAGTTTAATTTAAATACTGTATACTTTCTAATGAAATCAGTATGTCTTATGGAAATATTCAATTTTAATCAAGTACAGAATGTAGAAGTTGTGTAAGAGTAACTGGTCAGTAGGTCATATACTTGCCAGTTAGAATATCCGGAGAGATGTGAACACTTGAGTTTAACCTGGAATGACAGAACTAATTTCTAGATAACATATATAGGTTGTATAATTTCACATAAATTAATATTTGTTTTCATTTAAAATATAAACTAATTTGTCAAATAGAGAAAGCTTATTAAAAAGTATTAGACTTTTAACAATATGAATCTGTATTCAATTGCTTCCTGGATAAATCTTTTATTTTTTTATTTTTATTACTTTTCCTCTATTAGGATCCTGTTGTAATACTGTACATTCATCTGATAAATGTAAAACTAATAAAGAGAATGACGAAAAACAAACTTTATTAGTATTATGCTTTGCTTTATTAGAATAACATTCTTCTGCAAAGAGACGAATTTAAGGGGGTGCTCAGGGTGCAATTGCATCTCCTTTCTGAGGGTTTTTTTCCGAGTAAAGCCGGTTATCTCTGGTAGTAAAAAATTTTGTGAAGCAGATTGTTTTCTCTCGGTATCTCCTCTACAAATTTCTGGCTCCGCTATTGCCTCCTAATATATACGCGGAAGCGTATAAGGAGGCAACGGAGGAAGAAGATAATACATCCTCAGAGAGATGCAAACCTGTACGCTAATGATAGAAGCTCGTCTAGTTTTCATGCCGCTACAAAGACTATTATTTTCACTTACAGAAATTCATACAATAAGTCAAAATAAAATGAAAAGACTATCTATGCCTGCTGATAGTCACTTTTGACTAGAAAGCAGACATGGATTTGATTGATAATCAAAATACAAAAGTTTTCCATTTCGTAATGTTAAATAAATTTCTTTTCATTGATGGTCAACATGTATTGAACCTTAATCATCAACCTTGAGAATCTAACTGAATTTGTGTTAAGCATGAATAAAAATTATTTTAATGTCCAAGGAAGAGGGGAAGAAAACCATTTTGAGAGATTCGCATTCGAATCTTTCTCAAATTGTCAGAAAAATTTTCATAGAAAAAGGATGCACTTCAACAGGAAAATCATAATTAGGTAGACCGCTCAATAAGTAATTCCTCCAGGTAATTGTTTCATGCAGGAGTTGTTGTCTAGCAAGCAGTTAGACAACAAAAATGCATAATTCTGTTTCATAAGTTAAATTTTAATGCGTAGTTGAACATCGAACGTGTTTATTTAATTGTTTAAAGTGGATTATATTTTTTTTCAATTGTGTTGATGCGTGTCAAGAAACAATCAGTTATAGAGTTTTTAACTTACAAAAGTGTGTCCAAAGAAATATATGCAAGATTAGTGGCAGGAACTGTGGATAAAGCCAATGATTCTACAATATGACAACCCTAAACTCCACACTAGTGCTTTCATATACAGAAACTCGAAGTTGTTGACCCCCTCTTCACAGCCCTAATTTAACACACTCAGACTTGGTTGTTTCCTACTCTCAAAAGATTTCTCAAAGGAATTCATTTCACCTATGACGAAAATACACAAGGAAATGATTCCGCGAACAATCCGTTTCTAGAGACGGGTTTGAAAAACTTGTTAAGCATTGGCGTATATGTTTCGAACCAAAAGAAATAAAGTTTATTAATTAAATTAGAAATACTGAACTTTATTCTTGTTTTGCTTTCAGTTTGATATCTTAGGGCCATCCATTAATTACTTATACAGTTTTTACGTAATTAATGGATAGGAAGGAGGGGGTCGTGGAATTGTCTACGTGGACTTTCTTTAGTGGTATTAGTTCTTATAAAAACCTACTCGCTAGTCACGTGTATAAACTATCAGAAAGTATTTGTAGAACTTCTTTAAAGTCATTTCTTCAATATCAGGGTATTCATGTAATATGTACACAATTAAAGGAGAGGATTATGCCGAAAATACATCGCTGTAACAACAGAGAGAGGACCAAAAATTGTTCATGTAATTAATGGACGGTCCCTTACCATTGAGCTTGTATAAAGTTATGGAGATATTGAACACCCCTCGTACATTTTCTGTCTTTCAGTATTCTAAACTTAATTCCGGAAATATAGGCCAGCTTTAGCAAATTTTGATTATTTATGAACTGAAATTTAAGACCATATTTAAAGTCTATTTGCGGAACTGGAGTTTCACAAAATACCATATAAAATATATTATATTTATTATATTAATTGATCTTTAATATTAAAATTAATCAGCAAATTTTTATAGTCTCAGGAATTAACTCTCATCAACTAACAGGAATATAACTTACTATATCTAGACATTTACGCACATGGAAATATTTGTTATTTTATTATTACATTCTTTTATTTGAACAGTTCTGTTTCCCGTTTTAATAATAGCATCATTACACATCTCTTAGAGATTGATAATTTATTATTATTCAAACAGAAATTATTTACAATTATTCGAAGCATTTGGGTGTTTGTATTGATTGCCGCAATATTTATTCGTTCGAATAGATTTTGGGTAAAATTACGAAATAAAAAAAAATTACATTTAATCCAATAAAATAACATAAATAATAATAATAACCATTCAAGAAGAGAGAGAGACAGAGAGAGAGAGAGAGAGAGAGAAAAAAGAATCTACGTCCTGTTCATCCACGTGATCAATGACTCATCCGAAGTAAAGTTAGAGTTACGAGCGGTGGGGGTTGAATAATTAACATTCTAATATATTACAACAATTCTCGGAAAACGAAATAAAGATTATTTATTCAAAATATTCAATTTCACTTAGTTTTAATGATTATTATCGTCGTCTTTTCGTCATATTGCAGATGCGCTTTATTAAATGTTTCAATTTAATCATCTTTAACGAATGAAATTAAATTTAAATCACTAATCAAAACTCAATTAAAGTGTATAAGACGTTTTAAACCAATTTATTTTTAGTATCTTAAATTCCTGTTTAACAATAAGATTAATGTAGAGTAGAATTTGGTCGACCTTCAGTTTTTCTGATAAGCCAATGCATTTCCTTCCTTTTTAATGAATTGCATAGTTTTAAGTCGTGCCATACGTTCCCCCGTTAAATATTACACTCGTTTGCTTTCAAACTCCCAGAAAAATCTCAAGTTAGAAGATAAATCAGTTTTATGCTTTAGAAATTTCACTTCTGGCTCTAGAATGGACTCTAAGGATGAAAAATGCAACCAAGCTTCAGGTAAATACAGAAAAAAAAAAGTTAGTTTTATAATAATAATGTAAGGACAAGGCCACTTTTTATCATTGTCTTCCAATGAATTTAATTCTTAAAACAATTGTTAAAGTAATTAATTAAATACTAAATGTAAAAATGAATGTATAGAAGAATTTCCAAAGCATTTGGTACCTTTACACTCTTACATAACATCATATGATCTATATACAAGCCTATTATGTTATATAAATTTGTTTGTTTTAAGTTTAAATTTTAGTGTAGGTGATTTAAAATGTATTTTAACATTTAAAATACTGTATACTTTAAATAGAAAATGTTAGTATAATCAAATACAATATTACATAATAAGGATAATTTTCTGATTCTAATTTTTACTTCATTTCATTATGTTCAATGAATCTGTTTTCATATATATATATTATTTAAATATTAATCTGTTTGTAAAATTACAGTTGTGTATGTGAATTAATATCAACAGTTGAGATATAATGTTACTTTGATTAAAATTTGAGGAATTTATTATTAGTATATAGTGTATATAGTGTATTTTTGAATATTAGAAACAATTTGCATTTTATCTGTGTTAGTTTTGGCTTCATTTATTAATTTTGGTGGTGCCGTTTATTGTTTTGATTAGTTTTATCCAGGAATGGCACGGTGGATGGGGCTGAATTACCATGGTCGTGATCCTAAGTTGTGGGTGTTTCTGAGATCCCATACTTTGTCGAGATTCTTAAAAATAAATTTTAAATTGAAATAAAAAAATTTGTAACTAAAAATGTTATTTTATTTTTATACTGAGCATTTTTATACTAAGTTTTGTTTAAACAGTATTGGGTACTTTTTAAATTTCTCTTGATTTTTGGTATACAAGATCACTTATCAAAATCACATGATATCATCAAATGACAAGCTTTAAAGGTTGTCTTTTTGATGCACAAAGTAGCTAAATCTGAAAGCTTTTCATGTTTCATTCTTAATTCTTTTTAACTGAAAAGTATCCCTTCCTAAACAGTTTGTGCATGTTAGTCACTTAGGACCCAAACATTTTGAATGCCTAGGGTTATCTATAGCTTAGGTAAATCTAGTCCTGATAGCAAGAAAAGATTATACTACTACCTTTTAAACAGTTTGATTATTTTCTTGATTTACCTTATTGTACTATTTTTCCATGTATTGACAACTTATCAATAAAATATAAAACTGTTCTTTGATGTGCTTTATTGTTAGTTATGATATATCAAATAAATGAACGTTGATTATGATTTTTGCCGAAATGTGTTTTGAAAAGACAATAAACCATAGTTTATCATCGATTAAAAGGAATAAAGATATATGAATTAAATTTTTACTGTATAATTTTGTTAATAAGTTTAAAGCTATTTCCAAAGCCATATATTTAGAAGAAAATACAAAACTATGATTTTCTTACAAATACTGATCAACTAATGTTATTACATATTTAAAGTCTGTTTTAAAATATTACATCAATAATTTATGAAAAAGAAAAGCAGTTTGACTACAAATTAATACAAGTACTTTTGTCTTTATTATTGGTTTTGTCAGATATCTTTCTCTCCATTAGGATAAAAATTTGTTTTTTCCTCATAAAATGTATAGCAGTGAATTATTTTTAAATTTGTAATGGATTTATATAAAGAAGACTCAATAATTAGAGTTTATGACAAAGATGATCTCTAAAATAATCAATAGATCTCTAAAAATTAATTTATATAAATAATTTACTGTTATTGCAATTCATGTTTAAGATTCAAATGTACTGATTACATGAAAATAACTAGACTAGATTTTATTAAACATTGTGAACATTTTTCAAAATTAAAATATTGCTATTCTTTGTATTTTAAATTTTATGATGGTTTATAATATGTACAATTTATATTTTTGTCTTTCATCCAATATTCAAAATTTTGGTGAATTATAAAATCATACAAATATGAAATAAGATATTGAAACAATTTGAAAGAGTATAAAAAATCAAATCTAAATGTATCAAAAGAGCATGGAACAGAAAATTTAAAATACTGTATGCACTTGATTAGACCCACAGGTTTAAATTAATCTGTGGGTCTAATCGAGGGTAGCTGGAATGTGGGCTTAAATAAACCCACATTCCAGTTTCATTTAAAAAAAGTAAACCCACATGGGTTTATTCTAATCAAATTTTCCAATCTATTGACTGACTACTGTAAACAATCTATTGAAAATTGTAATTATGTAAATTATTGTTTGTGTCACATTTCTTGTTCTCCATGTTACTTTTTTAGACTTATATTTTTATTTTTACTTAATGACCTTTGTGGCTGCTCACACCAACACACACAACTTTTGAAAAAATAAACCCACAGATTCAAATATCCCTTTAGGCTTGAATAAACCAACACTCCAAATAGACTTTAGATCCACTTTGAGTCTTTTTTTTTTTTATTTTTTATTCAAGTGTGTGTAGTGTTTAAATTACATACATTTAAATAAAACTGAAAGAACAGCAGTAACATTGAAAGTTAACTATGAATCTGATGCTTTAATATAAATTTCTGTACAGGGAAATTTTGAGCTCTGCAAATATGTATTTTTCCAAAATTTTAGATAATAAATTTCATACATTTCTATATATATGATATATCAAAAATTCTTTTGATGTGTTTTTACATACTGTTGTAAATTCTTGCAACTTAAAAAAGGCCACAAAAACTATTATCTACTTATGTGCCATCTGTAACATGTTCTTTTTAAACAAAATGATCTAGAAATGTAACTTATTTGCTAGATTCATAATAATGTTTAATTATTTTATCATCAGCATCATCATTTTCTTTTGTCTTTGCTTTCTCCCATGTTTATATGGAGTCAAAATTCCCATCCTTAATCTGTCTTGTCTGCTTCTTTCTATCTCGGACATCGTCTCTCCAGAGTGTTTAATTAACTTATATTTATAATTTTAAAAACTGGTGAACATAATGATTACAAAAATAATTAGATTGTATACACATAAAGTGCTATTATAAAAATTATGGTAAAAATTTCAATAAAAAAGGATCTTATCCATTTCCAAGATAGATAACATTTTCAGTTATAACTTACAATGTTAATGGAGACTCTTATAAAGAAAAATTATGAAATTGCTAAACATAAACTGTAATAGTTTAATATTTTCATATTAATATTCAATTATTGCATTATTTCAAAGTTTTTTGCAGAGAATTTACATAAATTTTATTACAGAAGCTGCTTGAAATACTGTCTTTATGTCTAAATGCAATATTGTATAACACATTTGACATTGAAGATTGCAACTGAAAATATACTTGATCTCAAGCCTGGTTGATTTGTCAACTGATTTTTTAATAGGATATTTTATTTATTTTGAGTTCTTTGGGGCCATCCATTTATTATGTATAGTTTTTGGCTTCAGTTTGAAGAATTTGTAGACCTATAAATTCCAACTATCATCCATTTGTCTTTCCTTAATCTGGAGAACAGTGTTAGATAAATGAAATTCAAGACTAGATATGAAAAGCATAGGGGCAGAAGCCCTGATTAACTATATATGAACTTCCGATGCAAACCGGAAGTCATGCTTCAATTCAAAAATTTTCCCATGAAAGGAGTTAGCTACATAACTGGTACAACTCCATTGCTAATGGAAAAGTATTATGTACCGGGGCAAAATACTATAGTACTAATTTGAGGTGGAGAGCATATATTTTAAATTAAATAAATTAAAAATATGATTAAAAATTGCAGCCTGGCATTGTGACAAAGTCACAATAAATAATTGCTTGTTGTTATAGTTTTGTTTTATACAGTGATTTATTCTAGGTAGTTTATTGGTATTAATTATATAGCATTTTTTATGTAATATATTCAAATATAGTTTTTAAAAGACTTTTGATTTCCTCCCTCTGTGTACTGTGATATATTTTTGGCAAACTCCTCCTTTTTAATTACATATACAGTACAATACAATAGCAGTGGCATGCCGTCCGTGGAAGCATCACTTTCCTTGTATTTTCTAAAATATAAATACATATTGTGTGGTTATTTTCATATTTTAACATACTTTGAATTAATTAAAATTAATATTTTATTATAATCACATTATGTATTTTATTACAAATTTCTACACATGTAAAAAACAATGATAAGATTGCTATTATATTCAATATAAATTCATATATGCATATTCCCAATGAGAGCGTTGTATTGTTGAATATGGAACAGCTTCCATGGCAAACATTTTTGATGGTGTAAAGCAGCCAGATTTACACATTTGTGCATGTGCTTTACAGAGCACCAACTTCATATGGTTTAGCTCATGGATGCTACACACCAAAATATCGTATAATGTTTCCAATGATTCTATCCAGGGCTGGCACAACTTCCCTATCATGTACAATAGTTTATGAACCCTCTGATATTGAAACAATGGCTTAAAAAATATTTGCAGAACTCTTTTAACTGATAGTTTATTCATATGACTAATAAGTAGGCTTAAAAGACAAATATACATGCTACTGATATCACTAAAAAGTCCATATAGACAATGTCCCTTTCTGTCCATTGTATACAATACTGTACTTTTTATAACTACCTGTCAGTGGCATGCAGTGACATTTAATGATAGGGAAGCTGTGCTGGCCCTGGATAGAATCGTTGGAAGCATTATACTATATTTTGGTGTGTAGGATGCTACACCAAAATATGAGCATCCATGAACTAAACTGTGTGAGGTTGGTGCTCTGTAAAGCGCATGCATATAATCTGGCTGCTTTACACCATTCAAAAATTTTTGCCATGGAAGCTGTCCCATATTTGACAATACAACACTTCTGTTGGGAATATGAATATAGGAATTTATATCGAATATACAATGGCAATCTTATCATTGTTTTTTACATGTGTAGAAATTTGTAATAAAATACATAATGTGGTTGTAATAAAATATTAATTTTAATTAATTCAAAGTACGTTAAAATATG